TTATCAAAGGATATGAGGGTTACAAATCAAAAGAAAAAATAGGTTAAATAATTATTAGGAACAAAATTTGTAAAATAATGAATAATACTTGAGGAGGAAATGCATTTGCTTGAGGAGAAGATGGTGGTGACATGCGTCTCACAGGTGATTTCAGCGGCGAAGTTGGCGACAGTTGTTGCAGTGACGACATAATGTGCTATATAAAAAAAGTTATATTTTTTATCCTACAACCCTTTTGAAAGAACCTCGAGAGGCTTTGCAATGTAAGCATTGCTACCTTTGTATTTCTCTCAAAACGATTTGGATTTGTTTTTTGATGTTTGTTGTCCGAGAGAAGAATGATTTGGAGATGATGAACATTCCTCTCAAAAAATTTTCTAAATGAAAAGGCTTTCAGTAGAAAAACATTCTTTGGAAAGAGAAAAAAACTGCTTAAAGTTTTTTGCTTCAGTTTTAAGAACACCTGGGAAGAGTTTTGTTGAAGAGTGTTTTGTATTTTCTAATCCATTATAATTCATCTTGGGTAGTACTATAGCTATTGAGAAAGATTAAAAGGCAAGATAAACTAAAGTGGAAAGTTTGGAAGCTGTGTTAGCTATTAAAAGTAAAAATTTTCCAGTTTGTACAGTGGTTTATAGCATTACTCTTGCATTAGCCGAGAAACATAATGATAGGAGAAGGAAAACAGCAGTTTCCGTATCTCTGAAATTACCAGCGCCTGCATTTTTAAAGCTGCATTACCCTAAACAAACAGCAATAATTTTTTTTTTTTTGGAATAATAAGAGATGGAGCTCAATTATAATAAAAAGTTGTTTCAAATTTTAAAAAAGGGGAGAGCTAAAAGGAACGTGTGATTTACATAAGGTTGCAGATCCTTAACAAAAGCCAGTAAAAAGGAATGAGAACTTACCGAGATATTAAATTGTCAGAGATGTTAAATTGCCAGATGAGCCGCTGTTTAGAGCTTCTTCCAGAGTAGTCATCACACTTGGTTGAGCTCTCATTATTGTTTCAATCAAAATTAGAATAGCAATAAGAAGAGCAACCTCAAAACATTTCTATCCAACAGAGCAATAACTAAATTAGTCAAAAAAGTACCAAAGCAGAGGGGCCAAGGAACATCAAGAATCAAGCCATGTATTGAAAAAAAAAATCATTTCATCATTCCAATATTTGAATCGATTCCATCTATGCATTTAGCTTTACTTTCCATTTAACACTATGAACCTCAGAAAGTTGCAATAGGTTCTCGCTAGAAGGGGCTTAGATTGATAACTGCCCTTTTCCAATCAGGATAGAGGCAGCACATGGATGAATGGAAAACTACAAATGGCCAAATGAGAAGTTGCAAAACCCCTTTTAATGAGAACCTTACTGTTTAGTTTTCTCATGGTTATCTAGTAATCATGTAAAAAGGGTAACTGAACAACGGATTTGAAGGTTATGTTCCAAAAAAAAAATCAGACTTAAGGGGCCTTTTTCTGAGAAATGTGGTTCATCATTGATGAATGGAAAACTACAAATGACCAAATGAGATGTTGCAAAGCAGAAACGCATAAGCATAAACTATGCAGTACAATTTTGTCTGCTAATCGGCGTAACACCCTCATGCTTGGAGAGACAAACTAACATTCTAAGGATTTTATGATGGGGAGCAATGTGGGCAATGTTTGTCACAGCAATACTTGTTCTCACAGCATGTTCCTTTTAATCGTGGGAGTTTATATAAAAACATTTGGCATGAGAGAAATGCTTGGCTACATAGATATGCTAAGATGGGGAGCAATGTGGGTTTTTACTGTATGGTTGTTTATGCTTGTAATGCGTTCTTTGAGATTATATATAAGAACCTCTCCTCAAAAGAAAAAAAAAAATTTGCTTTTAAATTGGGTGCTTGGGAATGTTTAATGATAGAATTACGCTGGTAAAAAATGAGTATTTGTATAAAAAGGATTTTTGATGGGTTTTAAAGGCAACAAATACTATTTAATAAATAAAAAAGGATTTTTGATGATATATAGGAAGCTCAGTTGTGATTTCAGCATATGAGGTTGTTTGAGTCCAAATTGGAAGGAATAGACTATTTGCACCCTTGACTTTCCAAGACTTGTATAGTAATGTTTGTGAGCTATTTAACCATTTTAAAGTTTTTGATTTATTTTTTTTTTTTTAACTTTGGTAATTATGATACGTTCAATACATTGACACTAAGAACACTTTAAGAATATTAATATATACATAACCTTAGAGTTTGATGTCCATAACATATCAACTTGAATGTTCATGTTATTTCACCTTTATGCCCATCTCCAAGCGACAAATGCTCTAGGCATGCTTTGTGATCATCCTAACCTTTTCTGCGTTTCAACTTCATTATATTATCATCAACTACTAATTCACATGGCTGAATGCTCAACAGTTTTCTGCTTTGCAACTTCTCATTTGGCCATTTGTAGTTTTTCTGATTAGCCACATTTCCCAGAAAAAGGCCCCTTAAGGCTGATAATTTTTTTTTGGAACATAACCTTCAAATCTGTTGTTCTGTTGCCCTTTTTCTCATAGTTACTAGACATTTAGACATAACTGCGTTCTTTTTGTCTGCTAATTGGAGTTATCTAGTAGCGTTTTGGCTTGCATTATAACATTTTTCCGTAGCACCCTAATGCGTGGAGAGACGAAATAACATTTTAACTCGAGCTCCATGTCTTTCTTGGTTTTTTTTCTTTAATATTTTCTAGCTTCGTTTTGTTTTGGTAAATTTATTTTTACTTAATTCATGGCAGATTAAAAGAATTCCTGAGTTGGGGAAATAGGAGTTGGAGCCATCCACTCACCATAGCTTTCTGATGTAGGACATATATAAAAATTTGATTTAGATAAGGATTTTGCACACTTATTGAGTAAGAGCTAATTAATTAAAGTTTTATGATGATTCAAACAATGAAATAAAACCGAAGAGCGGTAAACACAAGCTTAGGCCAAGTTACTCTCGAAAAGTAAAAACCCCATAATAATCAATTACTCTTGACGTTGCATACGAGATGGGTTTCAACAAGAAATCCCTAATCTAACAATAAGAGTAGTGCTATGAAAGATCTCTCAAACAATTCCTACTAAATACTAAGCTTTTAGCAGAGCTTGGTAAGATTTTGCATGAATCAAATAAAACCACAAGCAAGGATCAACGAAGGAGGTAAGAGAGAAGGAAAGAGTTCACCCTTTACTAAGATTCAACCTTCTCGCAAGCTTGGATAGCAGTTGGTGGCATCTTGACGGCTCGGACAGTAACAAATCCACACTCGAACCTTTGGACAGCAAGTAGCCAACCTGGGACAGTGATTCCGGATAATTCCGGGCAGCAACGGTCGCTCCCAGAGGGGCTGGACAGCAGCGAACTGCTGCGGGAATCTCTGGACAGTAGATAGGTGGTCTTGAGAAGATCTTGAACAGCAGTTTGGCACTTGGAAAAAACTGGACAGCAACTTCTAATGCTTAGAAAAACCTTGGATGGTTGCTAGATGATGCTGGGAACTTTTATATACTAATTCAGGAACTCCAATAGTGCAGGACAGCAGGATAATTCTTCTGATTTGTATAGACAGCAAGCCAAAAGTTCCAAAACGAGAGGGAAACGTCAGGGACAGCTTGGGAGGGACTGGCTGGATTTGGGATTGGTTAGGGAGAGCTTTATTTGAGGATTTAAGAAAGGATTTTAATTAGAAAAGAGAGATGGGGTGGGGGGGTCTAGCAATGGAGAGTTAATTGTGGAATTTATGAGTCCTTCCAAACTTGGGTTTTGCTAAAAAGGGAAAGAGAATTAGAGAGAAATCTCTAATCAATTTCAGATTTGAGAGGATTTGGGAGTTTCCAAAAATAAATCAATCTCTTTAGGAAAGGATTTCAAATTCAATTTAATTGGAATTTGAATTCTTTCCGAAGTTAAGATGATCTAAATTAGGAAAGTATTTAATTCTTTCCCACATGAAAGGTTTTATTTTGGAAAGCATCAAGGAGGTGGGAGCTTGGAGGGGCCGGCGGCACCAAGGGGAATTGGAGAAATTTTTATGGAAGCCTTTAATGCTTCCTTGAGATATTTCATCCCAAATTAATTTAAAACTCAAAGAGGAAGGGATTTGGAAACTTTCCTAAAATAGGATTGGTATTTTAGGTAACTTTTCAAATTCAAATAAATTTGAATTTATAAAGTAGTTGAGTTGCCTAAATTATTCAAATCCAATTAGAAAAGAGGTAATTGCAAGCAATGATGGAGGGAAAACCCAAAGGGGAAGGGGCGGCGGCTTGGGCTAGGGTTCGGTTGGGTGAAGGGCCGGTGGGTGGGGGTGGGATTTTCAGTAAGTGGGCCGGTGGTTGCCGTGGGGGAATTTGGCCGGCGTCGAGGTGGAGTGTGGTTAGGGAATCCGGCGGCTAAGAGGAAAGGGAATTGGATGGGGATGTTGGTGGCTTAATGGGGAAGGAGAAAGGGAAAGGAAATGGAACGAAAGAAAGGTAAAGGAAGAAGAACCACGAACCCGGCCGTCTCCAAGGTTGGTGGGTGATCCGATTTTCCTCCCTAGGAATTTCTCCAAAGCTCTTTCCTAGAACTCTCACAACTCTTCAAAGAACACATGTGCAGGAATTTTCTTATAATTCATTCATTAACCCTCCTAGAAGAAGAGGGAGGCTTTAAATAGCCAAATACATGAAGGGAATAACAAAGACACTATTGCCCCTAGGGCATACATTAGACAAAGCCCTCAAGTGAGGGTAGAAAGAGAAAAAGAACAATAACAAATCAAATACATAAAATAGATCAAAATATATAGGCACGATCGTAGCCGTATTTTTTTGTGTCCTCATCACTTTCCCTGGCCACTAATAGTGCCATAAACTGTCTTGAATTAAACATAATAGATTTAATTTGTGGAAGTAAAACGTGGAAAACTGAAAGCATTCATTTACATATCCTTCTAGCTTGCTTAAATTCTTTAGTTGAATACAGAGTCGTGTTGGACCTGTGGAATGGTTGAGGCCCTACACTGATGAGACTATTGCTGAGCTTGGACAGAAAGGGGTGAAAAGCCTTCTGGCTGTCCCCATAAGGTATGACATGTTTTTTTATTTTTATTTTCATTTTTATATTTTTATTTTTTTATTTAAGTTTTGGCTTTCTTATTTAGTTTAGTAACCCTTTGCCCATTTAGATGTTTGATATTTTATTTACAATTTTTAATATGAAACTATGATATTATGAAAATCTAGAATGAAACATGAGGATGATATTAAATGAATTATACAAATTTTTTTTTATGAATCCACAAAAATAATATTGCGGGAGGTCATTTTATTTGTTCACGTTTCTTATAACCAAAAATATTATGAAAAATTTTGAACAGTTGAATGACTTGCATATATGTGCCTATGAAAGCAAACATATTTCTATCAGCGAAATATATTGACAGAATCTGAAAGCATGGGAAGGTTGCACGTTTTACTTGCTTTGAACTGTCTTATTTCTCCAAACATATTTGTATTTTTTCAGCTTTGTAAGTGAGCACATTGAAACTCTTGAAGAAATTGATGTCGAGTACAAAGAGTTGGCTATGAAGTCTGGTGTGAGGAACTGGGGACGGGTTCCTGCACTAGGATGTGAACCTACCTTCATTGCTGATCTTGCTGATGCAGTAATAGAAAGCCTTCCTTATGTTGGAGCAATGGCCGTCTCCAATCTTGAGGCTCGTCAGGTATCAAAGGGTTGTATTCACCAAGTTAAAAGTGATCCTTATTATCGTAGTAGGTGTTTCATTATGTGTGGATTTGCTTTCCTCTTGAAAGCTTAAGAATCTAGTCAATGAACTGAGAAAGTAACTGTTATAATATATAAAAGTTTATGGTGAGTTCTGCCAATTTATAGCTTTCATATTATAAATGTTTTTTTGTCAATGGCGATGGAGATCTTCTAAGTGATTGAATTGCCTCAAAAGATCAATTATTGAGGCAATTTCATGATTTAACATGCCATATCAGAGTGCTGGAAACACCAATACATTCAAACCTATAATAAATAGTTAAGACATTGATTTTTAAGGAGTATTTCAATAACATTTTAAGTGTGATGGATGTCGGTATAGTGTTTAATAAAATGTTGATATTTTGCAGTCATTGGTACCCCTTGGGAGCGTAGAAGAGTTATTGGCTGCCTATGACACCAAGCGTGAAAAACTTCCTCCACCGGTGCTAGTTTGGGAATGGGGATGGACAAGAAGCGCAGAGACATGGAATGGCAGGGCAGCCATGATTGCTGTGCTTGGTTTGTTGGTCCTTGAAGTAACTACAGGTCAGGGCTTCTTGCACCAGTGGGGCATCCTTCCCTTGTTCCACTAGTAACTATGCCTACTAAAGCATTCATATGACCACCAAAAATATATTATAATGATCCTTATAAAAAAAAAATTTAAATCATAATGTTGGACAAGATAACAAAAATCATCGTCTTCTCTATTTAATAATCTCGAGTCTCCTCAATAGGTCTGAAGTAACCATAAGCTGGTTGTTAATACCATTCCTCCATCAAGGAAATATATATCAATCATGCCATCTATTAGTTCGAGTCTGTGCATCCTTTGTATCATAGTATTTTCTTTTAAAGACGATGAGATCATTTTGTATAATATAATATTTTATTGTATCACATTGGGCAATCTAAAATTTTCACCACTTGATGTTAATGAATTTCAACTTTAATCTTCAAGGACATTACTCATCATGATTCATGCTTTGAAAACAAACTTGTTTGGTAAAATATGATTTTGTTAAACTTATGGCTATAAAAATGCTGCTAAAAAATTGAAGCTGAAGATAAAATTACTTATGACTTGATTTTCCTTTTGTTTTTAATAATCGTAGAAGTTCTATGAACTCTTGTCTACTAAGCATCTATGAGATTCATAAGATGACTTAAAGAAGTGTATGTACAACCTACAGCTGCTCCGTTGCAAAGATAAAAGTGTGGGTAAGAGGCTGTTTTTTATAATAATTTACTGGTATTTCCTAAACCCTATACCCTATAGCTAATACTGGAATAAGATGAATGCATATTCAATCATATGTGCATTTTTAATATTGATTTGGCATTATTTTGATGGGGGGGATTCTAGCTTAGTTTATATCTTTAAGCTAGCAAGACCTCTCTCGTATCTAATATTTGGCTATCGATCAAAGCATATGATTACTTCAAATCTTCAATGAGTCGGCAGATTGCTACTTCTAGGCCTCGCTATCCTCATTTTACATGAAGAGAGGGCAGGTGCGTCAGAAGTTGTTGGGTTACGGGTGTACTCAAAGGGAGAATTGAGTAGCAATGATGCCTTCGTAGTTAGAAACTAGAAACTATATAGTATTTAATAATATTCTACAATGTGCAAGTCTTTCTGTAGGGTGTTGGTTATGGATGATAATATTGCGTTACAAGTGTTTAATGAAAGACTAATTATCCTATATTTGAATGTGGGCTTCTGAAATCATATTTGGCTCTTTTAAGAGAGTTTGCTTTGAGTCAAAGGTGCTGAAGATAAATTAGAGGGTAAATAAGAAATTATCTACAGATTTTGTCCTCCTTTTTTGTGAGGATTCTATGATCTAATCCTAGATTTTTTTTAGTTGTAAGCTCTTATAATAATTATCCTTCCTAATCATGAGAGAGAATTTTTAATTAAGATTAGTTCGTAGGCATTAAATATTTAGCTCATAGTTGAATTTTTAAAATGAAAACTTATTGCCTTTAGTTTAGCTGATGGTGGGGGGAGTGAAGATGAATTTCATCAAGATCTTATGGATCTGTCTTCTTGAGTTGTCATGGATCTTAGTTTATTTAGTTCGAGAAGATTGTTTTTATATTAGGGAAATAATTAATTGTATGTAATTAAGCACATAAATTATTCTTTTCATGACTGTATGACAGGTCAAAGGGGAGTGGTGCAATAATTCTCTCCTCAATTAATGATAGTATAATTGTAGTATAGTATAGTGTTGGTATACTATAAATATAATATAGTTCAAATATAGTACAGTTATAGTGTAGTATAATACAAATATAGTTTAGTATAGTTATAGTATGGTATAATATAGGTATTGTATAGTTATAGGTATAGCATAGTTATAGGTATAGCATAGTTATAGTATAAAACAATTATAGTATAGTATAATATAGTTACAGTGTAATATGGTTATTGTATAATATAAGTATAGTATATTATAGTTGTAGTATAGTATAGTATAATTTTAGTTTAGTATAGTTTAGTATTAGGTATAGTGTAGTTATAGTATAGTATAATATAGTTATAGTATAGTGCAGTTATAGTATAATATAGTATAGTATAGTATATTATAATATATGTATCATATAGTATAGTTGTGGTATAATATATTATAGTTATAATATAGTATAGTGTAGTATAATATATGTATAGTATATTATAGTGTAGTTGTAGTACAATATAATATAATTATAGTATAATATATGTATAATATAGTATAATTGTAGTGTAATATATTATAGGTACAAATTTAGGGGCGGAACCAGCTTCAATTTTGAGGGGGGGCAAATACAGCACAAAAATAATATTATTTATCTATATATTACGAAAAAATTAAAAAAAAATTAAGCAAGAAAAATTAAAAGAAGATGTAATTAAACTGTCATAAAAATCATGAAAGAGAATATTAGAATTAAATGTGAAGAAATATATAGATATTTTAGGGCAAGTTAGGACAAAAATTTTAGAATTTTTTTACTCTCCTATAATTTTTTTTTTTTCTCTCCTCTAAAAAAAAAATTTTTTTTTTTGAGGGGGGGCAATTGCCCCCCTTAGGAACCATGTGGTTCCGCCCATGGGTACAATATAAGTATAGTATAGTATATGTATAATATAGTATAGTATATTATACATTTATAATATGGTATAACATAATTATAAGTATAGAATAATGTAGTATAGTATAGTATAGTATAGTTGTAGTATTGAATATTATAATATGGGTATAGTAGTATATTTGTAGTATAGTATATTATAATATATGTGTAGTATAAATATAGTATTGTATATATTATAATATATGTATAGTATAAATATAATATTTTGGAATCAAAGCTTAACAATAATTCCTTTTTAATAAACATCGTTTTTTCGGCGGTTACAAAATTCTTTTCGTATCTGCTTCTTCAGTCACAAAACGGAGTTTCGGAAACGAATTACTGATTTAAAATTACTTTCAAGTATTAAATAATAAAATCTCAAAAGCAGAACTCCTAAACAAACAATTTAAAATTACTTTCAAGTATTAAATAATAAAATCTCAAAAGCAGAACTCCTAAACAAACAATTTAAAATTACTTTCAAGTATTAAATAATAAAATCTCAAAAGCAGAACTCCTAAACAAACAATTTAAAATTACTTTCAAGTATTAATAAGTACTTTTAAAAATATTAGTCAAACATATCTCATTATTGAAACTCCATTTTATTGATCGGCTTTTTCTCAACCTCCTTTTCTAAAACTCCTTTTTATATAAGCATAAACCGAATCAAACGAAGCCTTCCTCCCATCCTCGGCAGCTCATAAACAGTCATTTCTCGATGATAAAACATGCAAAAAAAAATAGTCAAAATTCATTGATAAAATATTTTTTTTTATAAATTGTTATTGATTTTTGTGTGCTAGAAAAATTCTTTCTAAAAATGCTCACGAACAACCAAAAGATCCTCTTTTTCTTTTTTACCTATCAAATTTATATTTGGAAAGCAAAATCACAAAATAGAACAGGTATAATTGGCATTTCCTTTGTGATCTACAAGAAATTATGGCTGTCGTTTGTCACTGTGAGGCAAATGAAGCTGTGACTTCTCTGATTCTAATCTTCCTCTTTCCACTTCTCCTATTTAGGTGTCTCTCTCTCTCCTTCTCTCTCTCACAAATTTGGGAGTTGTCTTCAACTTCAACACGGTAAGTAATTTTTCTTCCTCCTCTTTCGGTACTTTTTTAATATATTATTATATTATTAAAAATATGTTTATTTTTATTTAATTACCCCAAATGCATTTCACTAAAACTTTGTTTCATGTTATTTATATTTTTATGTTAAAATTTTAATTTTTTTAAACTCTCAAACTCATTTTGAAGTTCGAATGAAAAATGTTGAAAGTATTTTTAAAATCGATAATTTGTGCCTCCTAAAAAAATTTCTGGCTCCACTATTGAGTGCAGTTATAATATAAGTATAGTATAATATAGTATAGTATATTATAATATATGTATCATATAGTATAGTTGTGGAATAATATATTATAGTTATAATATAGTATAGTGTAGTATAATATATCTATAGTGTACTATAGTGTAGTTGTAGTACAATATAATATATTATGATTTTAGTATAATGTAGGTATAGTATAGTATTTGTATAATATAGGTATAATATAATATAATTGTAGTATAGTATATTATATGTATAATATAGTATCGTATAGATGTAGTATAGTATAATATAATATAGGTATAATATAAGTATAGTATAGTAAAGATATGATATAGTATATTATAGTTGTGATATAGTATAGTATAGTTATAGCATAATATAGTATAACATTGGCACAATATAATATAATATGATATAATATAGTTGTAGTATAGTATAATATAGGTATAATATAGTATTGTTGTAGTATACTATAATATAATATAGGTATAGTATAAGTATAATATAGTAAAAATATGGTATATTATAGTGTAGTTATGGTAAAGTATAATACAGTATAATATATAATAGTTATAGGTGTAGTTGTAGTATATTATAGTATAATGTTTTTTTTGGGAGAATTGGGGGCAGAAGCCCATAAATTAATCAATGAAAGTTACAAAAGCTAGTTACAAGTAAGTATAGAAAATCTATACCACCCCAAAACCTTAAGAGAAGAAAAACACTACATTACAAAAACAATGAGAGGAAAAGGGAAATAGAAAATGGACTCAGGTAAAAGAACTACATCATAACTGCCTGAAGATCAGGCAAAAGGAACGCCAAAATCCAGCAAAAGCACTGGTTGCCAGATTCAGGGGAACCGACCCTCGCAGTGCCAAAATAACCTCCCACAAATAACCTGGTGCTGGATTGATGTAGTCCTTGTTCATCATCGTCCCAAAATTCCCAAAATCCAAAATCTCAGACACGTCCACAAGCCATGAGAAAGCATAAGAATGTTGTAGCAGCATTGAAGTGGCCGTGACAGAGACCAAAAACTTCCAGGAAAAAGCACCAGCATCCAGCCGCAAGAAGAAGCAGCAGAAAAGAAAACAAGAAACAGGGCCAAGCTCAATCCACAGCAGCATATAAACCTTCCAGAAATTCACTATCCAGACAACTTCGAACAGGGCGGCAATGACAAAAACAAGACAATCAGCCCAGAATTCCCAAGAATTTTTCTTTGAGCCTATAATATCCATTCTAGTGAGTAGTTTTTGCACGGATAGCCTTGATAATATCAACCTTCAAGTCAAGAGGAGACATCCACACATTCGCAAAACGCCTACTATTCCTCTCCCTCTAGATATAATAAACAAGCGTGGCAATTAAAAGAAAACAAAATTGTTTGTCCTCCTTGTCAAAGTCCCGTAAATTATCCAAAAAATCATAAGTTTGCAACAGATTAGGTCTAAGATAAAACTTAGAAGTAACCGGGAGCAAATTCGTGAGCA